AACACATACCAGCTTCATCACTGTGTCTGTCACGCGACTCTGTTCCCCTTTCGGGCTTGAACTGATGATAAAACTAATGACATTATTTACTGTCTTTACATTTATTTTGAAAGATGAATCTTGCGATTATGGTAAGGGGCGTTACATTTCCGGCGAGTGCTTGCGGTGTTCGGCCAATCACAATGCACCGGGTCAGCTGGCCAATCAGAGCAGACTGCGCTTGTCGGAAGGAGGGACTTTGTAGAAAACGAAGCGTTTGAGAGGCGGGGCATAGAGGACCTACAATAATGTACAGTATTTGAAAAATAATGTGTTTTTTGAACATTAAAGCATGTCAACATATTCTGTTACACCAAATACACAAATTAATGATCTTTTAAAAACCATCATATGACCCCTTTAAAAAAAAGATGATCCAATAGTTATATCATTAAATATAATAGCATAGGTTCAGTAATAAAAGACTGTTAGATTTGTTTCTATATATACATAATTATTAGTGCTATACATGCATGTGTTTGTATTTATATATATATATATGCATAATAAATATACACAGTACACACTCATATATTATGTAAAGAAAAACTTTTATTTTCACGATTAATCGTTTGACAGCACTAATATATATATATATATATATATATATATATATATGTATATGTATATATATTAGGGCTGGTAATTTAACGTGTTAATTAGATTAATTAATTACGGTGAAAAATAAAGCATTAAAATTAACACATTTAACACACTTGCCCTGCCCCAGACCTACATGGGTAGGGTTTGATTTGTTTTATTTCGTTAAGTAGTAATTTAAAGCTTTCTATAGATATATTTATCATGACTGTGAGGCATGTATTCGCTGAGCTTTGGTTCATTTTTGTGAAGCGCTTCTGTTCAAGACGAGATGGCAGAAAGCGCATCATGTTTGTTTTCTTTGTTTTATAAAAGCACAACATTTTGTTGATATTGTGAGTGCACACAAATAAAAGTAGACCCTTTACAGCTATGAATGATGTATTACTCTTACCTTCATGGGCAAAAATGATGGCGTATCCACTGAAAAAAATGCAAGTGATCGCGCTGGCGCCTCCATGTCCTGCAAAGCGCGCTTTAGCTTCCACTCTCCGCACAAACTATTGGATATAGCGCACATTTATCTAGGTTTAACGTTTAAACATTGTTATATGCTTGAACTGTTTTATATCTATACATTTTATTTTAAGCAAGTCGTGATGATTTGAGAAGGCTAAATCAGGGGTGGGCAAACTTGGCCCTTCCAGGGCACTTTCCTTCAGAGTTTAGCTCCAACCCTTATCAAACACATGCTTCAGTAAATGTATTGGATCACTGCTTTCGTGTCTTTGTATTAACTCCGTCTGAACTGGTTAGTAGTTTAAAACAGTGGGTGTCTTTTAACAGCCAATGGAGTGGAAAATGATTGCTTTCACATCTTGTCCTTGAAAGAAAAATCCTTATCAGCTGAAATTTGAAAGAGCTACAAATATTATGGGAACTAGCCGAGAAAGCACTTCTTACCAATGGAAGATTACAGATTTTCTGACTGTACCAATTCTATCAGACATTTCATAGAGTTCACTGTGTTGCACTGTGTTCAATCAGAAAATCAGTCAGAATAAGGAAAGAAAAAGTGTCAGTGTTCCTATTCTGATGGCTGATTTTGCCATTTATGGTATACTGTAAATTGACAAATAGTTTAGAGAATGTATCCGATCACATTGTAAGGTATGCTGAAACTTTCAATGTTCAGAGAGTTACTCGTCAAACAGGCAGAAACGGAATGAAACTGAAGTTCCAGGACTGAAAGTTCCTTCCAGCACGCTCATTACACAATCAATACTGGAGGAATTGACACACCGCCTCTCACACTGCAACAAAACACCTGCTATCATTTTAGCTGGAAAATTGATCAGGTTCTGAGAGCGAGGAAAAATCAGGATAACGAAACCGAGAAGGGCTGTAAAGACTGAGCTTTCTCTCTCGGTAATCTGTTCTAGAACAGGGAGTTCCAGTAGGAGTGTGATTGCGTCTAATCTTCTGCTCAGGGAGACTCCCTTTGCTGCTTTTGATTTGGTGAGACGCAGGACCTTTCTCAGAGGTGAAAAGGAGAATAACACATTCTCTGCTGATACATGCTGTGATGGAGGACTTGAACCACAGTGGCCCAAAAAGTATTTGGACACCTAAATTGATATTACACCCGAAAATGAATAGTCATTGTTGACGTTGTCACCCTTAATGTTGTTCTAAACCTGTATGAATGAATGACTTTCTTCTGTGGAACATGAAAGAAGATATTTTGAGACGTCTTGTTTTTAATCCATACAATGGAATGTTTTACCAAAATGGTTTGGTTACCAATATCAAAATTATTCAAAATATCTTCTTTTGTGTTCAGCATGATAATGGAAGAGGTGAATCTCTTTAAGCCACACAAAAATGTATGTCATTGAAAATAAATGTTATTTGGTAATGCAAAAAAATATATAGCTTTTACAAAAACAGGTCTGGACATTTTCTGCTTGTCAAAAAATATGGTAGTTAATCTGGCCTACACCCGTGGCTATTCTGCTAGGACGCCTATGTGAACTTGAGGGTAGTTGATGTCATATGTCCTCTAAAATGGCCACCAGATAGTTAACATTAACTGCAAATATGATTCAGAGAAGTGAAGTTTGTTTAAAGGAAATTTATTTGCAGATGTCACCTGGTTTTATCCGTTAATAAAATGTAAAATATTTTCCCCCTAAAAATACTAAGAATATGCCCAAAACAAATGCACACAAACAAAATCACAGATGCAACACCCATTCTCATCATCTGCAATAGCATAGAAACACAATAGCACATCCCAGTGAAGCATCATCAGTGTTATCTGTTCATACAACATGCCCACACTAAGCCACACACATTCCTGAACACTGTTACACGTATGCATGCAGTGTTCTCTCTATGTGCCCCATAACTTTGCGCCCCTGGCGTCTCTGTGCTTCTGGGGAAAAGATTTTCCAAATGAGTCCACTGGCTGACCTCACCCTTTTCCAACAGGGGTTTATGCGTAAAGCTTGACCTATTGTCTGACTTACCCCGGAATGCACTGGCATGAGTGATTCGTAAAGAGTCTGTGTGTGAATGAGTGACTAAGCATAATAAGGCTGAATGACTGTATAAGTTGCTGTGTGTGTTCTTTCTTATTGATGCCTTAGGTTTTGTCAAGTCCATAATGGGAAGGCGCCGTTCCCTCCCTCACATTCACTCCACTGACTGGAGCCTTCGAAACCAAGCAGAGAGACAGGCCGTCAACTTTGTACTACAGGGTATTGTGTGCATTTCTACTTGTGTTTGTAACGTTTACCACATCTATGATTGTCACAATGGCTGTGTGTGTGTCCCATCAGGCTCAGCTGCAGACCTAGCCAAAATGGCAATGATCAAAATCTGCTCTCAAGTGGCTTCTGCCTCTTACACTGTCAGGTACATCCATCCGTTCATCCGTCCAACTTTCCACTCCCTCCCTCTCTTATAATCTCAAGTGTACCTGAATTTTGAATATTTTGAATATGGGAAATGCAGTTACATTTTACAGAAAGTTTCATTTAGTTAAATGTATGGGCATAAAAACATCAAGACTTTTCTTAAAATATCTTCTTTCATGTTCCACAGAAGAAAGAAAATCATACCGGTTTAGAACAATATGATGGTGACTAAATGAAAGTGGAATTTTTATTTATTTATTTAATTTGGTAAACCATCCCTCTAATGCATTCTATTGCATCATTCACTAACAATCGCAGCATTTATTAATCTAGGTTTATATTAATTTTTACATATGCTAATACAATATTTCTTATCCAAGGATGCCTTTCCTTTTATTCTTTTTCTACACATCCCTGATTTTCTCATTCTCTTTTACTCCCTCAGCCCATCTGTGTGAATCACTCAACTTGCTGTGCAGCTCTATATATTACAGTCATTTATCTTTGTTAGCATCTCCCTGTCCCTCCTTCTTCGTTCTTTCTCCTCGCCCCTCCTTCCAAGTTTCTTTCTATTCTGTTCAGCGAGCATTAGGAGATGTGTCTGCAATAGATGGCTTCCAGACCAGTGTAGAGCAATAAGAATACTTGACACATCTAATGTAATTTTGCCGTCACACTCCAGAAACTAAACACATCATGGGTTGGTGGTCACAGTCTGGTTATTATATCTCCACATTAAGATTGATAGTTCTGATCTAGTTTCTGTGTCTCTTTATCCTTTTAGGCTGGTGGCTCAAATCCATGATGAGCTGCTGTTTGAAGTGGAGTTCTCACAATTGGAGCAGTTTGCTGGTGAGGGAGACCGCACATGTCCTGTTATATGAACATGAAAGAAATAATTTGGGTGAAATACAAGATCATTTCAATTAGTTCTGAGTGAATAATCTCTCATTTTTTTCTGTGGTCTTATTTTAGTATTATTTATATACTATTAAAGTTTTTATTAATATTTTGAATTAGCTTTTCTATTTCTATTTCAAATGTATATTTTTGTTTACATTTTTAGACATTTTTTTAGTTATTTTTATTATTATTTTTAATTTTTTTGGTTCAGTTGTAGTTTTTATTTATTTTCAGTTAGTAATTTTAGTGTTTCAACTCGTTTTATTTTTTAGTACTTCAACTTATTTTATTTCAGCTTTATTTCAGTTAGCGAACATAATGAATATAACGAAGGTAATGACACTGATAGTAAACAACATTAAGCTACCAATGCTGTCAATACAGCATAACTAATATTTTACTTAAAATATTTAATTGTTAAATCTTTTATGAGATAGTATGGGATTAAATTAGATCAGTTAGTTTAGAGACAAAAGCACTGGCCATTTAAATACTGTGAATATTCTGTTGGTGAACAGTGTTGGTGAAGAAGACCATGGAATCTCTTCAGCACATTGAAAATTTGGGAGTGAATCTCTCTGTAAGTGAACACCCACAACTTCATTTAAATGATGGTCAATTTATCTTAGTACAAGAAAGAGCTTCTGGTTGTAGAGAAAGTAACAAGCCGTGATCTATTTAGTTTCTTCCTTGTTGCTTCAGACACATTTTATAGCTCTAATAGAATCATCATCATAGAATCAAATCATACAGACTTTCAAACAGATTTGTCCGCTATAAAGGCGATGTCATAGGTTTTGATTGGTAACCTAATTAAACTGCACTGCATTTCCAGACGGCCTTCCTTCCTACAGCCTGACTTTAAATTACCGTAAAACTAAATGATGCAGCAGATGTAGATCAGGCACTCTAATGATCCCAGTTCTTTTCACTCTATTTTCAGGTGCCCCTCAAAGTCTCATTGTCCACAGGACCATCATGGGGTTCATTGTGCGACATGAACCTCCCCTGCACCACTACAGCTACTTCTCTCTGAGTCTCCTGCTCTTCCTCTCCATCCCGTAACTATGGTAACCGGGCAGCTGCAGTTCCCAATTCTTGTTTCTCACTGATGTATCTGAGAGCAATGGTAGGAGCAAGCTGGATCGAACCAGTTCTTTTGGGGGATGGGGGCTTCTCTTGATTCATTTTTATCCTTTTACTGTTGGATTCGGTTCTTCTCACCGTTAGAAGCTAGTATCTCTTTGCACGAAAATAGAAGTAGCTATTAAATCAGTTTTTTTGGTTCATTTACACTGTTTGTACATCTTATGTTGACACATGCTCTTCAATACATCTTTCAACAAATAATAAATATGGGCCTTTGTCATCAAGATGACTTAATTGCATATGTATTATTGGCTTGGTGAGCTGATGGTGCTGCTATCTGTTTCTCAGCTGCTGTGTTGGAACGTCTGTCTCCTGATGAATATAAATAAACTCAGTCCTCATTTAGTGAGTCTCGCTCACTCCATTTTAAACGCGTTAATCTTATCTCTTCCATTTTCACGGCACCTCACAACTCTCTTCGCAGCAACCCACTTGCCTTTTGCTGTATCTCGGTCTCATGTGTACACAGTCCACACACACGCACTGACCCAGATTTTCAGTGTCCGTCTGTGACGTCAGGTCTTCTGTGCCCCCTCGCAATACACTCTATCAATACAAACACGCCCTTGAAAAATGTTCCAGTCACTGTGCTTGTTGCTGTTGTGTTTTCAGAGGCGGTAACAGCGCAGATGGCTGTAACCCCCTCTGAATGTCATGATATCCCTGAAAGCCTATTCTTAAAGGTCTGGCGCTGAGAGTAGAAACATATTACCCTGCTAGGTCATGATCTGTCTGTTCTTTCTTAAAGTCATTAATTAATGCTCAGCATCACTGAGATTTGGTATGAGAGAAGATCCTTTAGGATGTGTAATGGGGGGTCAGTAATGAGATTACCAGTATGTTTTAAACAAATCATTAGAGTCTTCCATATTACTTAAGGCTAAGAACTGTATTACAGTTGGCCTGTTTACACCTGGTCACTTAATGCGTTTTCTCTGATTGGATAGCTATCTGATTTAATAAAACGGTTCCATTTACACTTGGCCACATAAATGTGTCTCCGCAAAATGGATACATATCCGATCCTCAATTCCCCATGCTATATGCAAATTTAACGGAGTTCACGTCAACAAAAGCAACATATTTTTATTCATCAACAGCTAATTTCAAGATCAAAGCCCACAACAAGAGAGAGCACTGGAAAGATAAGTTAGTCTCACTACTTTTAGTCTTATTTTCAGTTTCATTTGTGTTAGTTTGCGCGTCGGCTTGCTGAAGAGATAACTCAGCTACTCATCCATGGCGATTCATGTTGTATTAGCGCTGGAACATCTGGCTATGACATATGATATAGCCTATAACACGCTCTCATACGTTTATTATTTTAATATTTTGGGAGGAGTAAATTTGCTTATCTGGTTTCAAGAACCAGATGCATTTACACTTGTCCAGTTTCGTCTGGAATTCGTCCCAGACCAGCTCCTGAAGTGGTTTGAGCGATCAGATTTAAATCCGTCTCGAAAGCGTTTCAGAGGGCATTTACACCTGGACTTTTCATGATCAGATAGCTATCGGATCAGAGAAAACGCAGGAAGTGACCAGGTGTAAACAGGCCCAAAGTTTTGACAGGCCCAAATCAAAGATCTTTTCAAAGGCCACTGCTGTCGATAGCATTTCCAACTATATTGCCATAGTAAGAGTTAAATAGTTTTGCCCTAATTGAACTAGTTTGTAACTTTTGAAAGACCTTGAGGTGTGTGCATTTGTTGCTTTTAAAACTTGTTCAGACACACATGTACAAGCTTTATGAATCGTTCCTTTAATTGATACAGTATGTACATCCTTTTCTTTCATAAGTCAGGAAAACTTTTCTTTACATCTTTACAAAGTTCCTGTGTATTGAGGAAATGAAAGAAAAGGGAGGAACTTAAACAGCAGTTTAAAAAGAAAAACTCTAATGGAAACTCAGGCAGTACAATGATTTCAGACTCAAAGAACCAGGTGATCACTGCGACCAAACAGGTAAAGCAAGGTCAGATTTACCATAATGAAAACCTCAAACCTCCTTTTTTCTTTCCCTAAACTCCATTCTACCCAGCCCTCATTATCATACTAGACCCAGCCCCATTTGTGGCTCCTGACCCCGCCCCCATGTATGGCTGCATATCATTTCCCTGCTGTGCTTTGTGTGGGCTTGTTTCTATAGTAACAGGCAGCCAATGACTGAAATGTGACCACGCTGACATAAATGGGGCAACTAATGCCAACTTACACCAGAAGTTGTAAACATGAGCATTTCTAAAGCAAAGAAAAAGTGTTACTGCCAACTTGTGAAATTATCTTTTAAGTGCCATACATTTCCAAAGTGTTTCCAGGGATTTACCCATAAATTAGCTGTCATTTACAATAATTAGTAACCCACCAGCAATTTACAATGCTTCTAAAAGCCCATAATAAGTGCTATGAGGATGCAGGGTCTCTGAAAGTTGCTTTTGCTCGGACTGGCACAAACGTACGCTGATTGTATAGTTAGAATTGTGTCTCAGTTTACAGTTGTTTCCCAAAGTGTATTGTTGTTGTTGTTTTTTAGTTTTTGTAAACATCTTAGTTATATTCATATAGTTTCTGTTACAAAATGATCATAAAATGTCCCCAAATGCTATTTACAGTAAATTACACTTTACAACTTTACATATATTAAAATGTTAATAAAAAAGGTTAATTGTTTTTGTTTTCAAGAAAAATCATAAAAGCTTTGTTAATATGAACCTGTGCGTATTGCGCCACTTGTAAAACTGGTTGTATGGTGTTAATTTCTTTAAACAGATTGTTGGAGACTGCACTCCTTGTGAATCAGGAGACAGTGGATATTTGAGACTGATCAATCGTGGTTCAGAGCGTGACGCAACTTTCAGAGGCCCATGACATCACCCAGTCACAAAGGTTTTTCACTTATTTTTGCGGGCGTCATATCAGTACAACATAAAAATCCATCGTAAACTGAAGAATTCAAGATGCAAGTAAACGTGTTAGTTGTAATTAGAATTGAGGAAATATAAAACACAATGAGAATACACAAAAAATTAAATTCACATTCACACTTTGTCAGGCCTTGGCTTGCCCATGGTGATGTTGCTGTGCCAATACTAATAACATCTGAGCGACTGTCACCAGTAAAGTATGAGGGATTGAACATCAATGCAGCATTTTAACATTTTTATAATCTCATGGATCATGTTCTTATGTTTGTTTGTTTTTTCCAACTGTGATACTTTGTATTATTGCTCGATAAACTGGCACATAGGCTTGATTTCCAAGTGAATTCTACAAAAATGAGTTGTGACGACATCTTAAAGACAAACGGCAAAAGAAATGAAATGAAATACAGCAGACATCTCGACTTTGGCAAATTTAACTTTTAAAAAATACTGTCAATGCATTGTAGTGGATAATAGATATGAGACAAACCCTTATTTTATATAAAATTTTAAAAAAGAACCAAAAAAGGAAATAATCATACAATTGTGCTACAAGTGCCACTAACTCCTTGCCACTTGAAGCCACAATTAGGGGAGTGCTTTCAACCTAGAAAATGAAGGGAGAAACTCCACACTTTGGTACCTTGGCTTGTTCCATGCATCACCTAAAGGTTGACAGTGATGAAGCAAGGCCATCTACCATTGTGGATTTTCTCTGTTCAGTGAAACATTCTTAGCAGCCATCTCTTTCATGCAGGTTACCAAGGTCAATCTGAATGCCTTATCAACTGTTCTTTCGAACTAACACTAGAAATGTATATACAAAGAATGCACTTTATTTCTGTGTTGTGGTTTTTTTTCTTTTTCTTTTTTTTAAGACTTGGGTAAAACCCCAGCTTCTTATCCTTGCGTAACAACTCGACTACTCTCTTGAGCACCTCTCCAACTTTCAGAGACATTCACTAGCCAATCAAGTAACCAATCTAAACCCACATATGACACACTAACTGTATACATAAATCCAATTTAATTGAGCCTTTAGCATGTGCAAAAGTTTTAGCATGTGCAAAACTAGCGGCATGATCAGGGACTGGTCAACGGTTTAGTTAAACACAAGGAGTGATCATGGTGTTCTTGCACTTGCTTGCAATTTTAGTATTACAATAAGGCTCTCTTCAATCTGGCAACAATACATGCACCTTAAACATGAAATCCCCAATCCCATGCTAACTGCATTCAGAATAATAAATTAAGGATTTTCAAGGCAGTTGCACTACAGTATAAGAATAACACTCATAGCAAAAGACCTCAAGTACATCAAACACTGTTCGAATCTGGATCTTCAAAATGCGCAATACATTGCTGATTGCCGTGTACATTCACATGCGCCAGCACTATGGTAAATCCCATTAAGACATTTGTGTGATTTTTCCAGTTGATCTGATACTGATTCCTAAATGTTGGATTGAATACAACTTCATGCTCCTTATGTATTTTCATACTGTATTCCATTTGTGTGTTTGATTATTTGTGGATTGTTTTGGCCTTTCACAGTTTAGCGCAAATGCTTCACAAGATCTCAGGTAAGCGATCTGTAGCCTGTTTGCTTTAGGTTTACACTGACTTTCATGTTGATAGTTTAAATATCCCATCATGGATTTAATCAGCCCAACCTTTCTTCTTAAGGATGTTAAGTGCATTCAAACCAAAAGTCAATTTTAAGGGAGACAGGTGAATGCTATGTCTAATTTGACTGCCACACGCAACTGGCAAAGCTGTCTAGTGAATTGCTTTCTTGGTGCCTTTGTGTTTCAACCCACATGGCTAAAATAAAAGATGTCCTCACAAGTAAAGGGAGAAGCATCACATAACTGAACTGTAGTCAAAACGGCACATTCAGATTAATCATTTTCAAGGCCTTCTTACGAGAAAAAGGACATTTCACAATATCCTAAAAGATGACAGTAAGAATTTTAGAATGAACTTAAATTACATAGAAATATCAAAAGAAACGGCTCCACTTTTAAGACTTGCCATGTGAAAGATGGCATTTTCTTGCTCATTTTTCTTTCAAAGACGTTTCATGCAACAACAATTTCTTTGAACAATGAAACACATATTTGTTATATGTTCAGTTAAAAAAAGAAGCTTGTTTTACATAGTTTTAAATATACTTCTTTTCCAGGGCAGGCACCGTACGCACAAACCAGGTACAGAGGCATGCCACAAACTTGCATTGCTTTTGCATTCTACTATTGGCAGCTGTGATGTCATTGAAGCAGCAAGCT